CGTTATATATCGAAGGAAATCAATGTTAATATCACCCAACAATACAACCTGATATTTACATTGATTTAAATATTTCAGCAGCGCATCAAGCCTTTCGATAAATTCACAAATCTTTGATTTAGGATGCCTGTATACACAACCCACTATGATATTCTTATTGTCGTTAAAACCAGATTCAATTTCAATCCAGCAAGACTCTACATCGTCTAAAGGAAGTTTAATGTCAGGTCTAGCAATGGCTTTTATATCTCTGTTAACATATATTGCAGCACCTCCCGCATTGGTACTTGAGAGTTCAGGTGCATCTAAAAATCCCGTCAAGAGGCGGGTTGTTTTCGCGCAAGAAGACTCTAACTTCTCAAAGTTGCCAAGAACTCTCCAATACCTGTGATCCCATTTCACGAGCAAACGACACAAACTGATGCTGTTCAAGTATCAGATGAAATTTTCGTCAGTGAAGGTTTACATTTATGAGCTATTTTATATGACAAATAATATATCTTTGAACAAGTTATCCTCTGAACTACTACAGAGTGTACATGCAATAAGAACAAAATAAGGACATGTTTTGAATTGAAACGTACTCTAGTTTATATTCATTTACAAATTACAATTGCGAACTAGAAAAGTGTTAGATATCCAGTTAGTATGTCTTACTTTACAAATATAACAGTTCAAAATGTAAACAAAGGAAATATTTGTTTACATTTAATACGGACTTAACATGGTCTTTAACATTTTCCGTCCTTGTAACAAATAATTATTCGATATGACACTCATCGACAAACACAGCTCTAAGAAAATCTTTAAGTTTTCCACGAAAGATATATCGATGTTTATTTTCCGCTTTTATTTTCCATTTTTAACATCATCCCCTTCTTGCGAAGCAGTGTCGGCACCTTTTACGCAAAGATGCCACTTGATCTTGCATCAATGGTATCAAAGGAGACACCACAATACAAATAGAATCCATTCAATCTTTATATCTAACAGAATTCTTCCCAAATAATACGAAATCAAAAATGTACGGAGCAATTTCATAGCATAAACTCTTGCCCGATCCAGTTGGAAAACAAAAAACACATCTTTACTCTTCAGATAAGTTTCGATCACTTCTTGTTGACCGTCTTGTAACGATTGGTATCCCAATTTGTCAAGACCATGTTGTATGCATGCCTTCTTCTTTTGAGTACATTTTATACTGTTTATGTTATAAACACTGTCTTCTTTTTATACATGTATATTTCAGATCAGAAATTCAACAAAAACAAAATGGCGTCATACAAGCTGAGTGAATTTGATCAGTTTTCGAGTGACGTCACCGGTGCATTTCTGCACCGGTGAATTGGCGGGAAACAGACTGGAAAAATCCTTTTCAAAGAGGAACCCAAGCGGAACCACGCGAAGTAGAGTAACGTCATTTGAAAAGGACTTTGCGAAAATCTAGGAATTTGTCTGATAAGCTTTAATCAATTGCTAAAACATATACCTGGAAGCAATACAGTTAGTTGCATGGGATTGATAATCTACTAGCCGATAGAAAGAATAACATTTGTGAAAATACATGAGTAGCTGATAAAGGCCGGTTCTAGGACAAAATGGTTAATACTTCATGTAAGGAAAATTATAGTGGATCCGGACAAGCATGGGCACGCCCGGAATCTCATTCCCGGAATTCCGCCTTCCCGGAATAGAATCGATGACGTCACTTCCGGTTGCCCAATTCCCCGCGCCGCCCTAGGGGTCGTCTGCCTGCCGGACACCTTCCCGTCCTCGCGCATCCGTGGTCGCGGACACGCAAGCACGCAAGTACGAACACACGTGCTCTGACAGTTTGCCGCAAATCCTCGTGGGTGTTGACCCGGTGTTTCGGAAGCCCCTCCACACATCCGCCACATCCCCAGCAGGCCCGCCGCGTCCCGCATGCTTGTTGGGGTTTTGGTGGGGGAAAGTGGTGACTTTTGTCATTATCTATATCACAGCGACAGCATCGTAGGGGTTGTACTGATTATTCTGTGTGTCATATTTGTTGTCGAGTCCGTACGAGGGCAGATTGAGAAAGGCCATGGGGAAGGTAAGTGGTTTAAGGGGAAGGGATTGTATAAGTAAAAGGGTATGGATTTCAACGAAGTGCCTTACGAGGAGATTCAGGAAGATTTGTACACTCCCCTCGAGATATCTATCGGAAAATTTAATCGGAACATGGAATTATTTTGGGAAATTATAGTGCGGGAGGAATACAGGGATTTGTGTTTTATTCAGGTAGCGTACTTAGATTCCATTAATTGGGATTTTGATAAGAAGGTTATAGATACTAAGTTATTGTCCGGCTTGGACAGTATTTGTAAAACTAAAAAAGATTTTATGAAATATCTTCAGAATCCAGCTATAGGATGGGAATCGAAAATGGAGAGGAAGAGAAAAATAATGAAGAACTTTAGAATAGCGGAAAGGGAGTACTTGGATTCTCTTGGTCCTAGGGAGCCGGAACCTGTGGAATTTCCTAACGAACGTTTTTGTTCTGAGGGGTGTGAACATCAGTTTATCGGTATAAATGAGGAAAGAACGTGTCGTGAATGTAGACTAATACTTGGCAGAACCCATTACGTTTCCGAATACGGCTGTTGGAACAGAGCAATTATGAGTCGTAAGCCGGCTACCATCGTGTCCAAGGTTTATGGTTTTATAAGGAGGAAGGGTGTGTCGGGGTATGAGTTGTTTGGGAGAGGATCGTCTGTGATTATAAATGAGATTGTTGTAGTTTGTAAGGCAGAGGAATCTAAGGGGAAGAGACTGCCTAATCTTAATATTATCGAGGGTACTAATTCCCTCCGGCTATTTACACCCGGTGAAACGAAAGCATTAGCGAAGTCTAAAGTTCACCAAATATCGCGGGCGTGGCTCACCAACGATGTTTCGGTGGGTGGTCATCCTCACTGATCTCAAAATATGTGGCGGACTGTCATGAATAGCGAACACTGATTGGTCCAATTTAAATTAAGTTTGCATTATAACGACTGCATGACGACAGCGAAATAGCAAACATTTCTTGATTTGATGATTGATAAATTTCTTGCAAATATATTTCATTTTTGCTCGCATTTTTGCAAGATTTTGTAAATTTCAAAAGCTCTCTCAGAAAGAACCCCCCAAAAGAATCGGCTAAAAAAAGGGAGCCGACGTTAACGAAGGTAAGTTTGTTTTAAATATTGATTTTATAATGGTTTTAAAACCCGACGGCCTTTGCGTATATGAAACAACTAAACAAGACAGTATATAATTTCAGTGTATCTTTAATATTGATTCCCTTTTTTATTATATTGAATTTTTTAAATGAAAAAGTTAGCAAAGTAATTTGCATAGAAAGAATTTGAAATCATTTTATTGCAAACTCAAAGTTTATCGATAAAGCCATTTAATTAATAAACGCAGTTTTAATAGTTGTGGTTGAATTCTACCTTAAATTGAAGCTTATATTACGTATAATAACATACCTAACATATATATGTTGGTAAATTGATAATTTTGTAATTAAAAGTGATATCTTTAGGCAATGTTTCATTTGTAAGAATATTCTTAAAAATTATGGTGTTACCATGACAACTACTTTAGATCATCTTCATGTTCGGAAATTGCAATGGTTTTGTGAGCAAGGCGAGGGTTTCTGCATGCATGTATTTTCTAGCTAGTTATCAGGTATGTAAACGGTTTGGTGTGGAGGCCGATTGGTCCTGACTTAGGATTCCTAAGGGGAAGGATCCCCACAACCGGTGTAGGAAAATATTTGAGACATTAGGTTGGGATTATGTTGAATAAATTTTAATGTTTATTAAATCATTGAAATTGAAGTATTAGTCTTAGGGTAACCATAACAAGGAGAACCTCAACCGTTATCGGAATTAGCAGGAGGCTGATCAGGCACAGCCACACTAGTTTCCGTGGTACTTTCATCATTTTGTTTACCGTATTTCTTTACGGTTGTGCTGGCGTAACCGATTTGGGTATGTGCGCTCATCGTGATGTCTCCTCGTTCGATACCGATGCCAAGGTTGAACATTTTTCTCCTTTTATGAT